GAAGGGAAAGGAATGTAAGAGTTTAGTTTGGTACAGCCCAGGTGGTTAATCATTCATTTGAGGTTTGGAACTATGGAAAATGAGAGTTTTCTTAAAGGAAAAAGAAGAAAATTTTCTTTTAATGCTCACAAAGGTTTAAAAGTGCTGAGCTAGGTCAGATGTGCATGATTCTGGACAGATTTCCACAATTCTGTAAGCAAGGTGGGGGGCGTGAAGTGGCTTGGCAAGTTGCCACTGCTTTGTGGGGCGGCTCCTGAGTTCACTTCTGACCTGTTTTTGGTTTTAAGTGGAATAAGAAAACACTAAGCCTGGCTCTGGATCAGTACAAACTACAGGACTCAGAGGCAGAACTCAGAATCCTTTACAAGTGCAGTTCAGCTGGCATCTTTCTAAGTCTGATCTGGCTTATTCTTCCTTAAAGTGAGCTCCTTGACCTTGTGCATTGGCTAAATGCCTAAAAAAATTCCGTTACTCTATTTAAACCTATATGGTAGGTTTCTGTATAATAGAAAGGGAAAGGCCTGCAGAGGGAATAGCTGTGCCTTTCACTGTCCCGCCATTTGAGTCCTAAGCACTTTGTTTCTGCCCCTCACTGGGTACCTTTCCACAGGTCTTTCTATGGAGCATGCGGTCCTACACATTAATCCGGAAACTAGAAGGCCACCAAAGCAGTGTTGTCTCTTGTGACTTCTCTCCTGACTCTGCCTTGCTTGTCACGGCTTCTTACGACACCAATGTGATTATGTGGGATCCCTACACTGGCGAAAGGCTGAGGTCACTCCAGTAAGGACTGAATCCTTCTTGTGGCTTCCAGAGACTGATGAGAAACATGCCTGGGATCTGATATGTTCCCCTTAGTGTCTAGAGCATGGGAGGGGACAGTCTGGATGAAAAGGCACAGTGGGTTTAATGTTTATCAGTGTCTCATTGTCAGCTAAGCCCTTTAAATAAGACCAGAATGTCTTCAGTCGTGTGATTTAGGAGGCTGTCTGTAGTGCTTTAGACTCAGCATTCTGAAACCTCTAAGTGACTCGTTATTTCCTTTTACTAATAACTGTAGTAACAAGTTCAGAATGATCCTTGTATCGAAACTGTTACTTCCAAAATGAGTTTTCATGTTCTCGTAAACTTGGTCTACTTTTTCCCTTAGTCTCTGTTTTATGCAGCAAATAATGGGTAGTCCTATAATTATCATTTATCTTAGCCTAAAAAAGACTTGCCATTGGTACTGTGGCATTAACGTGAGGGCTGACCTACTTTGCCTAAGGAAATCAGCACAGGGGAAGTGTTAGGAACCCTGCAGCCCCTCCACAGGACCCTTGGAGCTTTCAGAGATGCCCTTTGTCCTAGTATGCAAATCCTATAAGGGGCACAGATGTGTCCTCAGTCTCTCACAGCCACGGCAGTTTGGTCTCCTGCCCGGGGCGAGTATGCGGGGTGACAACTCTTTGGATTCAGCATTACTCTTCTGTGTCTTTTCTTCTTAGCCACACCCAGGTCGACCCTGCTATGGACGACAGTGATGTCCACATTAGCTCACTAAGATCCGTGTGCTTCTCTCCAGAAGGCTTGTACCTTGCCACAGTGGCAGATGACAGGTAACAGAGAAATCTCTACACAGCCTCAGAGCAAGCACTTACTAGCAAGGCAGCATGACCCTCACAGCCCAGGCTGACCAGGATGCAAATGTGTGTCTCTCTCTCTTCATCCAGACTCCTCAGGATCTGGGCCCTGGAACTGAAAACTCCAATAGCATTTGCTCCTATGACCAATGGTCTTTGCTGCACATTTTTTCCACATGGTGGAGTTATTGCCACAGGGTATGTATGCATCTGTTAGCTGAACAGATGGGCAGTGGTTTCTGCTGAGTATACCATACAGTTTTTTAAGGAATAAAAGCATCTAGAAAGTTCTTGCCTATGAGGAAACCTTTAAGGAAATCCAAGATTATATAAAACTCAGATATTCTATTCTGTCAATATGCTGTATCATTTACTCTTAATATTTAAACTAAATGTGATTAAATACCTACAATTCATGCTACTGCATGGGCCAAGTCCACGAAGAAGCATAAATTGAGATGATGCAAAATTTATATGGGAAACCATTTAGGGTGAAGAGACCGCTTTATAGAAAACGTCTCTAATTCAGTAGGTGGCACTCTTCCTTCTATTACTCTGTAGCTAATAGTTTGATTAGAGAGGTCTGTGCTGACAGAGAGCACTTTGGTATAAAAGGTGTCTTGAGTTCTTATAATCCTAGCGGCGGCCTTAATTATTTAGTGCCACAGCTTTTAAATCCATGGCTGTGGTAAGGGTTGCATTTCGCTCTCTGGAGTCTCCTGCTGTTTGGAAGCAAACCAGAAACATTAATATCCAACACAATAAGAACATGAACTTCCAAGGTCTGTTTTCATGCAGCATTGGTTTCTGTTTTGTTTCAGGACGAGAGATGGCCATGTCCAATTCTGGACGGCTCCTAGGGTCCTATCCTCACTGAAGCACTTATGCCGGAAAGCCCTTCGAAGTTTCCTAACAACTTATCAAGTCCTAGCACTGCCAATCCCCAAGAAAATGAAAGAGTTCCTCACATACAGGACTTTTTAAATAATGCTACTTCCCTCTTGTTTGTAGCATGGTAAATCTTTCTGGTAAAGGAGTAGCCAGAATAATGGACCAAACATCTGGTCTTGGGCTGAAATAGCATTTCTTTGGGATTGTGAATAGAATGTAGCAAAACCAGATTCCAGTGGATGAATCATGGATCTTACTCTATGGCATGCAAAAGTCAGTCTTAGAGGAGATTCCACTTCCGAGGCGACAGAGCCTTACCTTAAGTCTGCAGTCCACCTGTGAATAGAAAGTGTTGAACTTTCTAGTCATTTTGATTCAAAGTGCAGTTATTGATGTTGTTTTGATGGTTAAAGTAAGTAGGCCTCCAGAGCCTCTCTTAAGTGGCGAGGGGTCATATTCCCTCATCTTTGATGCAGTGATAGCATTGTTCAAAGTTCTCTCTCCTGCTGCGGTCAGGGCTGCTCTGATGTCAGCAATTGCTCTCCTTCCTCAGGCTCCCTACTGACCAGCAGGACAAAGTCTCAAGGGAGCCATGTGGTATGAGGTATTAGCTTAACTCAATTATAGGGTAATCAGGCTGTGCTCCTGACTGATGCAGACACTATATTGGCTTTTTAAAAAAATGGTGTGCATGTGCAGATGACAATTGTATGTCAGATTATACAAGGATGTATTCCTAACCTGCATGACTGTTCAAATGGCTACTGAGTGAGTGGTCAGTTGCCATGTATTAGCATCATATTTATTTGTATTTTCTCAACAGATGTTAAGGTACAATTGTGTTTTTCTCAATATCTAAAAACCATAGTACTTAAATTGAACATTGCGAAGATGTGTATGAACTATGTAAAGAATTGGTGTTGTCATGATTTAGCTGATACTCCTGTGTACGAGATCTGTCTTTGCTGCTTAACCTCATTAGATTAATCAGCTGGTTTCACCTCTACCCCTGAACAAAAATAGCTCCTTAAAAGTACTGTTCTTCAGTGGCATGTAGTTATCTAATCACAACACCTCACTCGAGCAAAATCTGCCTTAGGAAAATTTAATATATTTTAAATTATTTTAAAAGAAATGCAACATCTTATTCTTTAGCTTTCTTAATTGGTGCTGTTTGGAGGCCAGTGTAATGTTCTATGACTTGTTAAGAAAGTTGAGGAATTTCCTCTACCACTTTTGTTGCTTGAAGAAAAACATCTTTTCAAAATGAGAGGCTTTCATTGAAGGGAAAAAATAAGTTAAAACCTTTTGGCTCTGTTTCATTTTTTCCATTAAGAAAAAATATCCTCTTTTAAAACTAGTTGCACAGTGTAAGAGCTGGGAATGGGTTGGCCAACTTTTAAATTTCATGGTTATCTTGGAGTATCACATACAGCTGAGGAGAGACTCTGGCTAGTTGGAGGTCCCACTTGGCCATTAGATTTGAACTTCGCTGATGTCTTTGGGGAATGAGTCCTGAAAGAAGGAAATAACCAACTTCTCCCTTAGAATGGTTTAAGAATTTGACACATTTACAAAGAACTGTCTCTAAAGAAAGTTTATTGTGATATTAAAGACAGAAGGTTTTAATATAAATGGGATGTTGAACAAGGCAGCATCTTCATAGCTGGCTAAAGAAAGAAGAGTCACTTATGACACAACCCACAGGCAAGTTGCTTTACTTTTATTGTAAAGAACACTAACGTAAATGCAGCATAATTACCGTAAAATAAATGTTCGATTTCTACCCAAGTCCCAGGCCTTTCTGCAGTTCTAGGTTTACAGTCAGGCTTAATCTCCCATGCCTTCCCTGCATTAACCAAGTACATGTTATACAACCTGTGATACCCAATGGCCTAATTTAAGGATAGCTCTCTATTAAAGTTTTTTCTTACTTGGAACCTGCTGGTAACTCCTGCTTTAAGAGGGGGAATAAAAAGACCATTTCTTTTAAAGTAAGAATATTCAGTCCATTGTATAAGAGCATAATAGTTTTGGCCAGTTTTATTAGGTTCATCAAGTTAATTTTGGAGACAATTGTTTACCTTGAGTTGGAAAATACTTGGACCATATTAGATCCAAAAGCTTTATATTCCAGAACAAAGACCAATTCTCTATTGTCCAAGCAACTACATGATAAAAGCTTTACAACTTAAAAAAAAAAAGGTTACTTTTTCACCCATAAAAGACAGATGGACTGGGCATGGTGGTTCACACCTGTAATCTTGGCACTTTGGGAGGCTGAGCCAGGAGGATCATTTGAGGCCAGGAGTTTGAGACCAGCCTGAGCAACACAGCAAAAACCCTGTTTCTACAAAAAGTAAAAGTACTAGCCAAGCATGGTGGCACATATGCATAGTCCCAGCTACTCAAGAGGCTGAGTCAGGATCACTTGACCCCAGGACTTTGACGCTGCTGTGAGCTATAGCAATGCCACTGCATTCTAGCCTGGACAAGAGTGAAACCCTGTCTCAAAAAAAAAAAGAAAAGAAAAGAAAGGACAGATGGGTAGTACAGTTAAAATCGTTATACATTAAAATTGTTTTCATGTGCCCCTGTTCCTAATGGCCACAAAAATGGTACTTTTTAATGTTGCCTAGCCACTCCTGGGTCTGGAACGGAAATTTCTAAGACCTGGGATGACCACAGCTCTATCCCACGCCCTGGGCAGCATTCATCCTATTAACTGTCCTCTGCACTGCCAGGCCCTAGGAATTGTGACTGGTGGGCCTTAGAACATCTAAGCCTCTGTGACAATCAGGTCTCTGGTAACTTGAAAAGCAGCAATGAGGGAACTCAGCTGGATCTTCTCATTGGTGCCAACAGAAAGTCTGTACCTAAAAGAAATCAAACATAAGGTAAGAAAAAAACAGTACCATGGCCAGCTGTCTTTTCATAAGAGAATAAAAGATCAGGGGCTGGTTTGAAGGAAGGGGATGAGAATTGAGAACACAAATTTATCTTAGACGGCAATCTTGTATGTGTCCTCTGAACATTTTCTTTGCTCTAAATGTTGATTTATAAATTTGATGTTTCCAACTGGTAAGGAAAAACTACATTTTAAAAATTATCAACATCAGTGTTCTGAACTTTGCCCTAACTGTATAGAAAGATACACAGGATTTATGTAATTTAAGGATTATTTAATCCACAAATATGTAAAGAGGGAATTAATTAAAATGGAGATTTCCTTCCTCTTAACTAAGACAGTTCACTGGGAAGTTTGGTTAACCACATCTGTGGGTCTGTGGTCTAGTCAATAAAGCAGGACATGGGCAGTTCATTCTTGTAAATGCCCAGCCATTGGAAGCCAAATCATATTCACAACATACTGATAAGAAGTGACCTAATCTATGCACGTGAAAGCCAATGCTGGCAAATTAAAGTTGGCCTACTCTGACATTACTTTGAACCCAGTACTTTGTCTACTTAAATGATAGCTGCCAGCTTCAGTGGGGGCTAATAACAGTGTTTGCAGAACCAGGCAAAGTGGAAAACTGAGTTTGTGTTTACTTTCCCCCCCATATGCTTTAGTATGCCAAAATCCCTTAATAACAGCTGGGTAGCTGGTCATATCCACACAAGTCTAGAAGTCTAAACTGAAGGAGGCCTCCCAAATAACAAGAACATTTCAACGTCAGTGTGGACCAAGCCTCTGACATCTAAGGAGAGGACTTTACCTCTCAAATGTGTTACTGATCTGTATTTGTCCTTCATGTTTATCCCCATGTACTTTAAAGAAACAATACCCTTCTCCATCTTCCACTGAACATCACCAAAAAAGCCAAGCCAAATAGAAACAAATTCACAACAGGGGGAAAAAAAGGAATTAAAATTAGGAAAGTATATACTCACTCAATGTCTGCCATTTTGGTCAATAAATATATTCGAACTGAAGATGGAAAGTCAACTGAGAGAAAAACAAAATCAAGTGAGCGAGGTCTGTCACTCCTTACAAAAAACCAGAATTAAAAAGGACGTGTAAGAGTTTCAACATCAAATACCTAACACTGAACTTCTTTCCCCTAAGGCCTCAGGACTGATCTCTAGATATCACACCTCTAAGTAAAAATGGCATAGATTTCACATGTTATACCCACTCTATTTTGTGGTTCTTTATAACACTGGGCTTAAGCTGACTGTTTCTTGGGCAGAAGTTAACACAAACAAGCTAGGAAAAGGCCTGCAAAGCCACAAGGAGAACCAACATTCATTGACCCAGTTAAGTCTCTTGGTCTGCAGAGCTATTGCAGAAGGAAAGCTTCTCTCAAACCCTATCACTTGGGGAGCTTGAAAGAATACTGATGTCTGGTTCTTTCCTGAGAGTGAGGGAGAGTTAATAGTTCTGGGGTGATTCCTACTTGCTACCAAGGTTGAGAACCAATTCTGTGCTATCTATATAGAAGGTACAGTTAATTATGGAACTTAAGATGGTTTCCTTAAGACTATAGTTTTTCTGAGATAAAAGAATCTCACTCTGTTGCTCAGGCTAGAGTGCCATGGCTCTACCTCACAGCAACCTCAAACTCCTGAGCTCAAGCAATCCTTCTGCCTCACAGCAACCTCAAACTCGTGAGCTCAAGCAATCCTTCTGCCTCAGACTCCCAAGTAGCTGAGACTACAAGGTGGTGGCAAGAACACCCAGTTAATTTTTCTATTTTTAGAAGACATGGGGTCTCGCTCTTGTCCAGACTGATCTTGAACTCCTGACCTCAAGTGATCCTCCCACCTTGGCCTCCCAGAGTGCGAGGATTATAGGTGCAAGCCATCACACCCAGCCACTTCTTTATTTCTTTGCTTGAAGAATGAAGCCTCATGTTCCCTTTCTGGCTGTCCTTTACCCCAAAGCAAGTATCTTCTCTACAGCTTCTCAGTGAGGGAAAAGTGTAAATTACCTCTATGCACAAACAGGTGTATCTCTGTCAGGATATCATGTAATGCCAGCCCCTTCAGAGTCTTCAACTCCATAATATCTAGAGAAGAGCAGTTTAAGGAAAAGGGAGCAAGTTCCAGAACAAACATAACGGCAGAGAATTCTGAATCCAAACCCTGGCAAGTGACTTTTTAAAAGTAGGGCTTTTAATCTCAACACAGCTGTTTCTCTTTCGGTTTGAAACTGCACATGTTGGATCCCAAGTCTTTTATTTTTCTTATGCTGCTGCTCCAACAAGGCTTTCTGAAAGATAGATTACAGTTGTATCTCCCAGTAAAGAATAGAGCCAAATGCATTTCTAAGAAGGCCTCTCGGGTGTTAAAGTACCCACTCTATCTACAGACACCTCACTTCCACGACAAGCTGACCACAGCCTCTGCCAGCAAAGGATGGGTGCTGGCTGCAGCCTGAGCACCTGGGGCCCCCTTTAGGCCTCAGACACGCAATGTGCCCAAGAGGTCACAAGAAAGGATACTTCTGTAGGCTGTGGTGAAGTCGTGATTCAACATCCAGTCCAGAATGTTGGCGATGTCTGACTTGAGTGGGTGCCCTGTGCAGGTGTAGACAGTCTCCTCTGTTACCTTTCCAAAGGCCATATTGGTGCTCTGTGCAAAAAGAGGGGGCGATCACAGT